GATTAAACGCTATCCCCATCAAGCTACCAATGAGCTTCTTCACAGAACTGGAAAAAGCCACCTTAAACTTCGTATGAAACCAAAAGAGAGCCCACATTGCCAAGTCAATTCTAAGCAAAAAGAAAAAAAAAAAAAAAAGCAGGAGGCATCACACTACTGGACTTCAAACTATACTACAAGCCTACAGTAATCAAAACAGCATGGTACTGGTACCAAAACAGAGATATAGACCAATGGAACAGAACAGAAGCCTCAGAAGCAACACCACACATCTACAACCATCTGAGTTTTGACAAATCTGACAAGAACAAGCAATGGGGAAAGGATTCCCTGTTTAATAAATGGTGTTGGAAAAACTGGCTAGCCATGTGCAGAAAGTAGAAACTGGACCCCATCTTGACACCTTACACTAAAATTAACTCCAGATGGATTAAAGACTTAAACATAAGACCCAACACCATAAAAACCGTAGAAGAAAACCTAGGCAAAACCATTCAGGACATAGGTGTAGGCAAGGACTTCATGACCAAAACACCAAAAGCATTGGCAAGAAAAGCCAAAAAGACAAATGGGACCTAATCAAACTCCACAGCTTCTGCACTGCAAAAGAAACAATCATTGGAGTGAATTGGCAACCAACAGAACGGGAAAAAAATTTTGCAATCTACTTATGTGACAAAGGGCTGATATCCAGAATCTACAAAGAACTAAAACAGATTTACAAGAAAAAAAAAAAGCCCATTCAAAAGTGGCAAAGGACACGAACACACACTTGACAAAAGAAGACATACATGAGGCCAACAAACACATAAAAAAAAAATGCTCATCGTCACTGGTCATTAGAGAAACGGAAATGAAAACTACATTGTGATACCACCTCACACCAGTTAGAATGGTGATCATTAAAAAATCTGGAGACAACAGATGCTGGAGAGGATGTGGAGAAATAGGAACAATGTTACACTGTTGGTGGGAGTGTAAATTAGTTCAACCATTGTGGAAGACAGTGTGGCGATTCCTCAAGGACCTAGAAATAGAAATTCCATTTGACCCAGCAATCCCATTACTCGGCACATATCCAAAGGATTATAAATCGTTCTACTGTAAGGACAGATGCACATGAATGTTCACTGCAGCATGGTTTACAATAGCAAAGACTTAGAACCAACCCAAATGCCCATCAATGATAGAGTGGACAGGGAAAATGTGGCACATATACATCATGGAATACTATGCAGCCATCAAAAACGATGAGTTTTTGTGCTTTGTAGAGACATAGATGAACCTGGAAACCATCATCCTCAGCAAACTGACACAAGAACAGAAAATCAAACACCACATGTTCTCACTTGAGTTGAACAATGAGAACACATGGACACATGAAGGGCAGCATCGCACACTGGGGTGTGTCAGGGGGAAATAGGGGAGGTACAGCTGGGGTTGGGAAGCTGGGGAGGGATAGCATGGGGAGAAATGCCAGATATAGGTGAAGGGGAGGAAGGCAGCAAATCACACTGGCATGCGTGTACCTATGCTACCATCTTGCATGTTCTTCACATGTACCCCAAACCTAAAATGCAATAAAAACGAAACAAAACAAAATACAAACTTATCCACCACAATCAAGCAGGTTTCATCCCCAGGATGCAAGGTTGGTTCAATATGTGCAAATCAATAAATGTGATTCATCACATAAACAGAACTAAAGACCAAAACCACATGATTATCTCAGTAGATACAGAAAAGGCTTTTGATAAAATTCAACATCTATTCATCTTTAAAAAGATTGTTAATAAACTGAGTATTGAAGAAACATGCCTCAACATAGTAAAAGCCATCTATGATCTATGATGAACCCAGGACCAACATCATACTGAATGTTGATAGGCAACAGCTGGAATCATAACATAGGCTCTCTCCTGGAAAATGTTCCTTGTGTTCATGAAACGAATGTATATTTTGTAGTGTTAGATAGAATGCTTTGTAAATATCTGTTTACTTTATTTGGTCTGAAGTTCAGTTTAAATCCAGCATTTCTTTCTTGATTTTCTGTGTAGATGATCTGTCTAACACTGAGGTTGGGAAGGTGAAGTCTATCTCTCTTGTTAGATGCAGTAATTTTACAGGCTGCTCTTTGTTAGAAAAGAAAATTATTTGGGGGCTGCACTTCATTAAAAGAAAAATCTTACTGAGGACCTTTGTACCTTCGCTATCTGCCTAAATAATGTCTTCTTAACTCCTATATCACTGCCAGAATCTGAGCCAGAATGAGGTGACTCAGAGAGGCTGGGACTATGCAGAATGCATTTTAGTAAAGGTGGCTGAGTGGCAGTGGTGATGTCTGGTTTCCAAGTGCAGCAGTGACATCTGTCCTAGCCTCAGGGTCCAGTGTCCAGCACCAGGGTGTCGGAGGTGTGAGCAGTGGTGTCTGTGCTCAGCAGCAGGGGCAGCTGTTCCCAAGAGGGACCTGATCCAGGGTGGGCTGTGGATTCTGTTCCTGGATGCACAGTTTTTAGCCTAGTTCTGTGGCCTTCCCCACAATAAAATTAACTTCCAACACTAGGTATATGAATTTATGTGTAAATTACAGAAATGTCTTTTCATAGTTTGCTCCAAGAAGTGAGTGAGAAATCAGTCTGTGGCCCAGTGTCAGAGAGCAGCATTCAGACATGTTCTTTGTGTGAGAGCCACATCCTGATTTGTCTACCTGGCCTCTACACCATGGTGGAGAGATCAACAGGGAAGGTCACACCATAATTGATTATATACATACTGCCTGTTCTTGCTGTGAGAAAAATCCTCTTTCAAACAGGGTTTGAAAACCCACCCCATCCACCCACCCTGGGAACTCTCTGATCTCTGATCTCAGTGGTTTCTAATTTGGCTGAGCAACAGGATTGCTGGTGGGGGGTTAGAAAATACTCAGGCCACTTCCCAAAGTATTATATTCGAGAGTGTTATGCACAAGACCAAGGATGTCAGAGGTGTGAGCAGTGGCGTCTGCGCTTATATAACAAGCGTTACAGGCGAGGCTGATGCTCAGACATGTAGGCTCCTGGTGTTCTTGATCTGGAGACTAGCAACAGGAGCTCTGGCCTTGTCAAAACTCGAGTCTCTTGCTCAGTTCCAGACTTGTTGGATCTCAGCACCACATCCAGGTGATTCCTGTGCACATGGGAGGTCCTTGTCTAAGTGTCCTCTAGGTGTGGGGTCAGAACTGTGCAGTCTGCTCTGGGTATGGTCTGATCAGATCCCTTAGAACTGGAGGTCCAGGGTTCAGTCCTTGTGCTAATTATTTTCCACAATCACTGCCTTGGTGCCCTCATCCGTGCTTCAGAGTTTTAAGTATCGTTTATATGGTGTGACCTCCTAAATCTATTTCTACAGCCCAGTCTATTTCTCGTTTCCCCTATATTCTGGAGTTGTCTGTCCAACTGCCACCCCAGCTCCCTCACCTGCATTTCGAGTAGACATCTCCTCCACTGAGTGCCTGGGATGCCCCCTCCTTAGTATGCGCCTGCCAGAGTCTCTCCAGTTCCACTGACAGCAGCTCCACCCTTCCACTCACTCATTTTACAACTATGGGTGTCCTTAATCCATCTTTCTCACACAGCAGATACAATCCATGGCAGATGCTGCGAGTCCATCTTAAAATGCATCCAGAATCCCCTCACATTTCACTATTTCCTCTGTTCATCACAATCAAGGTAACCCACATCTTCAGCCTGGAATACTACACTCACTTCCTGCTATTTTCCCGTCTGCCTTCCTCATCCCTCGCCTCCCAATTTGGTTCTCAGCACAGCAGTCACAGATCTTTTAAAAGAGAAGTTGTATCATGTCCCTCTTCTGCTCAAAACTGTCATCTAACTCCCATCTCACTCAGAGTAAAGGTCAGATGCTTCCCCACACCCTCCAGGCCCACCTGCCCTGGCTGTATCTCTCACCTCACCTTAGTTTCTCTCTCTTCAGCCCTCCTGGGCTCCTTGCTCTTCTGGGAATACAGACACCTTTCTGCCCTAGTGCATTTGCACTGGAGTTTCCTCTGCCTGGAAAGAACTTCCCCAGATATCCTCGAGGATACTCCTCATGTCCCTCAACTCTTTGCTCAAAGTTCACCTTCACAACATGGTGGACACTGACTACCCAGCACAACAGCCACCTGTGCTGTGCACACCACCCACACTCACCTGCCTCACAGCACTTACCACCTTCTAGCACCTTCTTTCCCTGCTCTGGTTATAGTGTATCTATTGTCTGCCTCTTCCTACTGGAACACATGCTCCAAAAAGTAAGAGATTTTTCTCATTTTACTTCAGTGATGTTCACCAGAAGCAGAACCACTCTGTCCTATATCTGGCTGACAACAAAGGTCAGTTGAATGAATGATCACTGTAGATCACCTCCTATTCTAGACAACTTTATTAACAGACTCAGGCCAAGTGCTGTTTTGTGGCAGCTACAGCACAAGGTCCCCTCACACTGAATTGAGGCCACTTGTGCTGTTCTTAGCAGGGCGGCTTGTGTGTCCTCCCTCCCCCACCCCTCCTTCCACACCAACCCCCACGCACACTGCAGCACACAACCAGGTTTCTCCCTTCAGGAAAGAACAGTCTTTGATGCTGGATCCAATTTCACAAACAAATACAAGCCTAAATTAGACTTTGCTTTAGATTCATGAGTTGGGAATGGAGCCAGCACCAAGATCACTAGAACCAGGACAGGGAGAGAGGGCAGGAGAGCAGAGCAGAAGAGGAGCCCTAGAAGGAGCCCAGGAGCTGAATGGGTCTGAAAATTTGTCTCAGAAAGCACAGAGAATCCCATATGTAGAGCCATGAAGGGACAAGGACAATGGAGCAGTGAAGCTGACCCAGCTGAGTACTGACCACATAAAGCCCATGATGGACTCAACAGCAACTGGGCACAGGCCCCGCCCACACTCGGCTCTTCACAACCTTCTCCAACCCCACCTGCAACAGACTCAGCATAGAGAACATGCAAATTCTGGAAGGTTCTCAGGTCTTTATTTCCTTTCTCGAATTTTAGGAATTGAGTTATTTAATTAACCCATCAACCTTAAAATATTTGAGAAAACACATTTATATTCAGATACTTATTTTCAGTAGGGAAGTAAGTGTTTGCAGCTCAGTGTACCATGAAGTTGAGACAGAGAGGAAGACACCAAGCCCCATCTATCTGGAAAACGAAGGATGACTGGGGAGGGAACATAGATGAGTATGGGGACAGGGGTCATGGTGGACATAGGGTGGGCTGCCTCTCCACCTCCTCACATTATGCTAACAGGGATGCAGACACATTCAGATGCCTTTGCAGAAGAGATGCCAGAGGCTCTTCAAGTCACAAAAAGGAGGCGTGAAGAAATCCTGTATCTCAGTCCCACACAAGGCAGCTGTGCCAGGCTACAGAAAACAGTATTCATGAACAAATTCAAGTCAGTCATGGTAAGTGATGACACTCTGAACAGCCCACACACTTGAAACGTCCCAATCAAAGAATCACTATTGTGCAGTCCTTTCTCCCTCTGCTCCACCCCCACTCACTTCAGACCCCCAGACTCTCACCTTTACAAGCCGTGAGAGACACATCAGAGCCCTAGGCACTGTCACTGCCTGGGGTAGAACAAAAACAGGACCTGGTCAGAGCCCAAAGGAGAGGTGGGACAGGAGGAATTACGGGGTGGGTGACTCCTCCACACTCCCACTTCCCACTTCCAGGCAGCCTGAAAGCTCCCTTTTTCCACCCGCGGGAAGAAAATGTCCTGTGAGGGAACAGGGAGGAGGCAGGACCATGAGATCTTAGAGGAACCTCTAGACTTGGACACCAGAGAAGTTTCCAGAACTATCCTGACTCAGGTCAGGATCAGGAAACACGAGGAAAGCAGATGTGGGTCCTGGACCAACCACCCTCCTAAGGTCTGTCCTTAGCAGGGATTTTCCTCTGACTTGTGAATGCTGGAATCAGGACCCCAAGACTACAATTATCACGGTGATACATCTGTCCTTCATTGTCACATGTGTTTCACAAAAGAATAAGTGCTGGCACACAGGGCCCCAGGCTGGGTCGGCCCATGTGTGGATGGTGCTTCCCAGTAACGAGACAGGACACACCTCTACTTGGGGCTTGAAACCCCCAGTGGGACAAGAAAACCCAGACCTCACTCCTCACCCCTTCCCTACCTGAACTCAACCTCCTCCACATCACAGCAGCAACCACAGCTCCAGTGACCACAGCTCCTAGGACAGCCAGGCCAGCAATGATGCCCATGATGCGGATGGTGGGCTGGGAACACGGCTCTGGGAAAAGAGAGGAAGGTGAGGACCCCTGACTCCCAGGCCTCAGCCCTGACCCTGCTCAAGGGCTCCTGAAGGGCTCTGCGTTCCCTGAGATGAGACATGGCCCCTCATCCCCTTCCTTACCCCATCTCAGGGTGTGGGGCTCCGGCAGCCCCTCGTGCTGCACGTGGCACGTGTATCTCTGCTCTTCTCCAGAAGGCACCACCACAGCTGCCCACTTCTGGAAGGTTCCATCCCCTGAAGGCCTAGTCTCCACAAACTCAGTGTCTTGAGTTTGGTCCTCCCCATCCCGCTGCCAGGTCAGTGTGATCTCCGCAGGGTAGAAGCCCAGGGCCCAGCACCTCAGGGTGGCCTCTTGGTCAGAGATGGGGTGGTGGGTCACGTGTGTCTTTGGGGGGTCTGACGGGAAGAGTCAGAAAATTCAGGCACTTTGCATCTCTCATGGGACACCCCAGCAGCTCCCATGTAACCCTCCTGAGAATGGACAGGACACCTGGGGTGGGGAAGGGAGCACAGAACCCAGACACCAGCCTGGACACAGGCACCTGTGATAATCTCCTATTCCTTGGAAAGTTCTAGTCTCTGAGAGACAAACAGGGACTTCTGGTCCTGACCTGAGTGGAGGCCGGGGGACTCAGAAAAGCTAGAATCAGACATTCAAACACACTGAGTATGAGGTAGAGAACAAGGCCTGAGAGAAAAAGTCACAGCGCCCAAGGCTGCTGCAGGGGTCAGAGGGGACCCCTATCAGTATTCCAGGAACTGCCTTCCCCTCCATTTCCTAGGAGAAGTCATCCCTTAATTGTCCTAGTGAGCGGGGGGGAGGGGGGGGCCTCAGAGGAAACTCAGGAAAACTCATGCCATTCTCCATTCATGGGAAGGCAATATTCTGGTGCTGATCCCATTTTTCTCCCTTCCTCATGAGATGCCAGACAGGGAGATGTACAGGAGATGAGGAAGACTCCTCACTGTCCCTGGTACCTGCACGCTGCAGCCTTTCCTTCCCGTTCTCCAGGTATCTGCGGAGCGACTCCACGCACGTGCCCTCCAGGTAAGCTTTCATCTTCTCCGCCTCATGGGCCGCCTCGAACTTGCGCTGGGTGACCTGAGCCGCCCTGTCCGCCGCGGTCCAGGAGCGCAGGTCCTCGTTCAGGGCGAGGTAATCCTTGCCGTCGTAGGCGCGCTTGTCATACCCGCGGAGGAGGCGCCCATCAGGCCCCAGGTCGCAGCCATACATCCTCTGGTAGGTGTGAGACCCTGGCCCCGCCCCCGAGGTCAGCCCCGCCCACTGAGCCCCGCCCCGCCCCAGACCTACCAGTGGGGATTTTGGCCTAAACTGAAAATAAAACCGGGTAAAGGCTCCTGGGGCTCTCCCGGGTGGAGGGCATGGGCGGGATCCGCAGCCTCGGGGTGGATCTCGGAGACTCAGGGAGAATCGAGCCGTCTGTGGGTAACAGGGAGGGGTCGTGACCTGCGCCCGGGCCGGGGTCACTCACCCGCCTCGCTCTGGTTGTAGTAGCCGCGCAGGTTCCGCAGGCACACTTGGTTTGTCTGCGCGCGGGCCTTGAGGGTCCGAGTCTGCAGGTCCCAATACTCCGGCCCCTCCTGCTCCATCCAAGGCGTCCGCGGCTCGGTTCTCGGAGTTGCCGCGTCGTTGTCAAACCGCTCGAACTGCATGTCGTCCACGTAGCCCACGGCGAAGAAGTGGGGCTCCCGGCGGCCGGGCCGGGACACAGCGGTCTGGAAATATCTCAAGGAGTGGGAGCCTGGGGGCGAGGAGGGGCTGAGACCGGCCAGACCTTCCTCCCGGCTCGGCTCCCAGAGTTCTGCGCCCCAAGGGCGGTCCCCTCGCCCCTCCCCGCAGAGGCCTTTTCCTCTAGGACCCCGCACTCACCCGCCCAGGTCTCGGTCAGGGCCACGGCCGCCGAGAGCAGCAGGAGGAGGGTTCGGGGCGCCATGATCCGGTCCTCGGCATTTGGGTAGAATCTGAATTGCAAGGGCTGACTGGGCACTTTAGAACCCGGACCGCGGGGACGTTGATTGGCTTCGCTAGAAACCCAACACCCAATGGGAGTGGGAATTGGGGACGCGTCATGAGTATCCAGGAAGAAAGACCCGACGCAGGTTGGGAGAGGAAGCAAGCTCAAGGGAGTGGGGAATCCTCAGCGCTGCTTCCCCCCAGTGCAGACAGGAACCTCAGAGCCTGAGTCCCTGGGAGCCACGCCTGGGCCCTGGGACTTTGTCCTGATCCCTCTTCTACACTAAGCCTCTTTGTCACACTGTCTGCCTGAGTCCTGGTCTAGGATTTGCCTGTGGAAAACAGGGTGGGAACCCCAGGCTGCCACCAGCCCCTTCCCCTTCACTTCTCGTCCTGGAATCCCCGTCCCTGAACTGGACTCCCTGCCTGCCACTCCTTACCTCTCCCTTCCGACTCTTGTACAAGGAAACTCACCACGGGGAACTTGACTCCAGAGAATGAGCTCGCCCTTGGAGTGGAGGAGGTGTAGAGACAGAGGTTTTCTCTCTAAACCTGGTGAAGTTTTTTCTGAAGGCACCAGATATTCTCATAGAGACCGGTTTCCTTTGTGTTTATTAATACAGTAGGTAGCACAATATTGATAATCCCTGAATGATTGGAATTCCAATCTGTAAAAGACCTATGTCAAAACAGCCTTACAGTTAAACTCTCAAAGCTCCTGTTTTACTTTCCAGGACTATGAATCTTGGACTCTGGGTTGTTGCATGTAAGATTATCTTCATTCTCTAGCCCGAGTTTCTCTGTGTGAGTCCAGAACAGCTTCTGTATACAAAGAAGCAGAGTCTGTTACTGCGTATGGCAACCGGGAGCCTGTAGTCATCACCTTAAAGTTACAAGTGCTCCATGCAGTCCCAATGCTCTTCACCAATGCACCAGCACTGCCTGTTTTCTTGACTCATGCACATCTAAGCAGTGTGCACATTTTATTTAGACACTTGATATTGTTGTAACCCCCTTTATAAAAAAAAATCATGAGGAAGCCTTTCGTTTTTAGGCAGTCCTACAAAATGTATTAAATACCGAATGCAAAGAACTCCCTGCTAGGCTCTTCCACTGCTTTAGACATGGATGAAGCTGGAAGCCATCATACTCAGCAAACTGACATAAGAACAGAAAACAAAACACTACATTTTCTCACTCCTAACATGGGTGGAAGTTGAACAATGAGGACACATGGACACAGGGAGGGGAACAACTCACACCAGAACCTGTTGGAGACTAGGGAGCAAGGTGAGGGAACTTAGAGGATGGGTCAATGGGTGCAGGAAACTGCCAGGGCAGACTATACATATGTAACCAACTTGCATATTCTGCATATGTATCCTGGAACTTAAAATAAAAGAAATTAAATAAAAAAAGAGAGTGCCTGTCTTATGTGTACTCATATGTCCACTGCAGCACTATTCACAATAGTAAAGACTTGGAGTCAATGAAAATGTCCATCAATGGGAGACTGTATAAAGAAAATGTGGCACTTATATACCATAAAATACTATGCAGCCATGAAAAAAAATGAGATCATGTCCTTTGCGGGAACATGGATGGAGGCCACTATACTTAGCAAAGTAACACAGGAACAGAAAAACAAATGCCACATGTTCTCACTTATAAGTGGGAGCTACATGATGAGAAAACATGGACATGTAGAGGGAAACAACATACACAGGGGGCTACTTGAGGGCAGAGGATGGGAGGAAGGAGAGGATCAGGAAAAAGAGCTACTGGATACTAAGCCTTAATACTTGGGTGGATACTAATGCGTACAGAAATAACTGTACAACAAAACCCCATGACACAAGTTTACCTATGTAACAAACCTGCACATGTACTCCTTAACTAACAAAAAAGTCAAATAAAAAATAAAAAGTGCATGATGGAAACAACATATGGTTGAGTTTCCTGTTTTTCATAAACCAAGTCACATAATCTTAGTCCTTGACTGGAGTGTTGATTCATGTAGATTTTTGTCATTATTGATATGATGATAAGTTTTAGGTCTACCATGCTCTTTTCCCGGTTTTTGTTTCTCTGTTCCTCTTGTCGTTAACCAATGACTTCTTATTAGAAGCCATAGAAAGAAAAGAAAGTAGAATAACATCTTTAAAGTGTCTGAAGAAAAAAAGTCAACTAAAAATTCTATATCCAGTACAGATGGCCTTCAAGGAAAGGCAAAATAGGAAGATATTTCAGCTAAGAGAAAATTAAAAGAATTTGTCACCAGTAGATCTGCACAATAACAATTGGTAAAGAAAATTCTTCAGGCTAGGGGAAAATGACACCAGGTGGAAAATGAGATTATTGGAAAAGATGCAGATGATCAAAAATGGTAAACAATGACCTAAGTGCAAAAGGCTATGTTGCTCCCCTCATTTACACTTCCTTTATATAGAACTGCTTAAAGATAAGAAAAATATTTTTCTTGTGGTACTTATAATGTATATAGATACATTACATATAATATCTATACCACAAAAGATGGACATATTAACTTGTGTTTTGAGAGACTAAGCCAAGCATCTACTCACCTATGACCCAGCAATTGCACTTTTAGTTATAAACCAACAGAAATGCATGTATGTGTGTGCCAAAGTATATGAAATTATTATTCATAGCAGCATGATTTGTAAAATCTGGATACAACACAGTTGTCTATCAACAGTGAAGGGTCAAGAAGTGTTAGCTATTTATAAAGTGGAGGATTGGACAGCCATGGCAGAGAATAGGCTACGAAGACACACAGCAAGGTGATGAGACCCAGGAGCATAATAGTGACAGTATAATGCCATTCAGCTAGAACTGACAGAACTCATCTGTGTTAGAAACAAGAGTGGCTACTCTAGGGCGGGAGAGGGAGGTTTATGACTTCAGGAGCCCAGCCCCCCAAAAGAGATGACACAAGAGACAATGTGCTTGTGAAACATCAGCAAACACACAAACACACACTTATACAAAAATCTTGAAGAGAGTTGTTGAAACACAGATTCCTGGACTGTACCAACAGGAATTCTGATTGGGCTGACAAACAATCAAGTGTATTGAAATTCTGAAAAATCCTCAAAAGTTTATGGCAACCAACTGAATGCAAAAAAAAAAAAAAAAACAAAAACAAAAAAACTGGAACTCAGTAGCAGAGCTTAGTGGGATCACACTTTCCCTTTGCCTTGGTCCATTTCTTGCTCTCTAGCTCAGCAGTGGTCTTGAAGACAGCAGCCTGGGTTCCCAGTGTGGGTTCCTGGTGCCAGATGGAGTTGAGTGGATCTTGCTCTCAAAAAATTGTAGGCGTTTTTTTGTTTTTCTCATCCTGTTGGGCAACTCCCTGAAGGATAAACAGAAATGGTTTGCATTTTCCCCCTACTTTGGTCTCTCTCAGGGAAGAAAGCCAAGGCAGAGAGCATTTGATGGAAAAATAAAAAACTTTTAAAAGCCAATGAATCAGCAGCTACCTCTTGGACAATATATATATATAAATTTATATATTTATATATATATTTACATATATATATATAAATTGAGAAAAGTAATAGACATGTAGAAAAAACTGGAAGAGAAGGCTGGGAGTGAGATGGTCTGGGGAAGTAGGGTTTTGGAAAGTTTCCATATTCCTAGGAATCTAGATAACCTTGTACATGCTCATAAGGCACCTGAGAGAGTCCCTTGTTCACACCTCTAGCTGACTTTCAATATCTTCACAAGCAAGAAGGAAGGCAAAGGCAGAGTCGTAAACTGCCCAACTGACTATTGAAGGCATGATTCAAACACATCCCCAGACCCCGGATAAAAAGACTGGATTTTTTTGTTTGTTTGTTTGTTTTTTTGGCTCAACACATTTAAGGAAATTTCTGTCAAAACAGTAGAAGACCACTAAGCTAACAGAACAGAGACTTCAGTGACCACACAAAATAAAGAATACAGTCTATACAAAAATAGTTTTGAAAATGTAATTTTCAGGGTGGGCACAGTGGCTCACACCTGTAATCACAGCACTTTGGGAGGCCAAGGTGAGTGGATCACAAAGTCAGGAGTTCAAGACCAGCCTGGCCAAGATGGTGAAACCCTGTCTCTACTAAAAATACAAAAAAATTAGCTGGCCATGGTGATGGGAGCCTGTAATCCCAGCTACTTGGAGGCTGAGGCAGGAAATTGTTTGAACCTGGGAGGCAGATATTGTAGTGAGCTGAGATCACGCCACTGCACTCCAGCCAGGGTGACAGAGTGAGATTCCATCTCAAAAAAATACGCAATTTTCAGAGTTAACTTATTGTAATATTGAAAATGTCTAGTTTTCAACTTCAGAAAACATGAGTTATGCATATATTAAAGTATAACCCATTCACAGGAAAAGCAATAAACAGAAATTGTTCCTGAAAAAGGCCAAGCACTGGATTGACTTACTAGACAAAAACTTTAAATCAACTGTCTTAAACATAGTCAAAGAGCTGAAGGAATCCATGGACAAATAAGTAAAGAAAATCAGGAGAAATATGTTTCACTAAATAGTGAGAAGCGGTACAGAGTTAAAAATTGTGAAAAAGAACCAAATAGAAATTCTGGAGCTGAAATGTACAGGAAGCAAACTGGAAAATTCACTGGAGGGATTCAAGAACAGATTTTAGTATGCAGAATGAAGAATCAGTAAATGTGAACCTAGGTCAATTAAAATTGTCCCATTTGAGGAGCAGAAGGAGAAAAGTACGAACAAAAATTAACAGAAGAGATCTGAGAGACAACTTCTAGCATTTGCATTGTGGGACTCTTCAAAAGGGAGAAGAAGGAAGTGGGGAGAAAGAATATTTGAAAAAATAATAACCACAAACTTCCAAAGTTTTATTACAAACAGGAATCTGGGTATCCATCATACTCAAACATTTAAAGCAGCATAAATTCAAAGATGTCCACACTAAGAGACATTATAATACTACTGTCAAAAATTAAAGATAAACAGAGCATCTTGAAAACAACAAGAGAAGAGACTCATCAAGT